TATAAAGAACTGATAAATAGAATAACTTGACCGAATTTTTAACAACAATAGCGCTAGAATACCGGTATCAAGTGAACAAAACGGTAACGAACTAGGCTGATTGTAGTGGGTGCCTTATTTGTGAAATCAAAAACCACTAACTGTAACCTCAGTCCGAGCTGGTTTAGAGAAAATGAGAGAACAAATACTGCAATGCTGAAATCGTAAATTGGCCGTCGATTAGATAGACTAAATCCCAGAGGAATAAACACAAGAAATCCATCATTCTGAACTGAGCGTAACAATGTGTCAATTTGCGTAATAGACATGTTTATCACGTCCCGACATGTATTCAAGTTGATGGCCGTACGTTGACTTGCTAAGTATAGATAGTTACCATCACAACAGGTGATCAGATTTTCTTGACCTTTGCGATATGGTTTTACTTTATGCAAAAAAAAATATATTGTTGCCGAACTTCTTTCCGTCAAAACACGACCAATTACAATTGCCCTTTACGCTCCATGCTTCCGATTTCTATGGACAGCGTGAGCACATTCATTTTGACGATGTCGGCAAAAATAAAAACATGTAAATATATGTCTAAAGCTCGAAGTTTGGGTGCAATTTTTTTCTTCCGCGCACCTACTCGATGAATGGACGTCATCTAGTTCTTTTTAAAGCTATTCTCATTCACCCAACACACTGGTACTTTTTACGGTGTGTACTTTGGTCATCGAATTTGTTACACAGAATACTGAACTACGGTAAATATTTGCGATTAGCCTGTCCATTCCGCCCATTTACAACAGAGAATCTTTATTGTTCGCCATATCTGAAGTGAAAAAAAAACCGAAGGACTTTACCCACCGCATACACGACTTTGTAAACATAGCTTCTATATGGAAGCCATAAATATAATAACTTGACCGAATTTACAACAAAAGCCCGAGAACCTCTGTTTCAAGTGGGCGAAACGGTAACGAACTAGGCTTACACTGTAAGTGTCATATTTGTAAATTGAGATAAGCACTAATCTCAATCATACGAGCTAGTTAAGAGAGAATTAATCTGACATGTAGGCGTGAGTGGCGCCCTCACCGGTCGAACGGCATCAGACCCCATGACTGTCAGCTTACGGTCCCCAGTTTTAGTTTGATACACTTATTTACATCAGAGAAAAGCTTCGTCGCTATTGGGAACGAATTATTGAGTTCATGTATTGAATGATACCAATGTTCATTCCAAGAGATACATACAATTATAGTGACTTAAAGAGCTCAAGTCAATCCAAGTGCAGTGACGGAAGGCTCCATGCTATTATCTATCCTGGCCATCTTTCTATTCTTTCGTGAGTCCTCATCACAACGGTCTTGATTTTTATTCCGCGGTCAGTGGGTGACCATGACACGACGTTAATTGGCTGACAGATATAAAACGCTGCTAATGTAATGAACTAATTTTTCCCAAACTAACCTGTTGACGACGCCCAGTAGAATTCATCTTACTACTTCGAAAATATGAAATGAATTCTGCTCTATAGGTAACACGTGCAATTATTTTCAAATCTGACACCATCAATCTAGTGATTGTTCAGAGAATATCATTAAGCTCATCTATGTTATTATCGTGCTCATCATACAGGTTTGCGGGGAATGTATTGAGGTCACTGGACCTCATGAGAATAGCGTTGTGGTCAGCGTCATAGACATGTGTGGGTGTGAAGAAAATGGTTTAAATTTAAGTCAGGAATCTTTCGAGATCCTCGAATCTGATGCGAGGTACGGGGCGATTGATGTTACCTGGAAAGTTGTACCCTGTGACGTAGAAGGAAATATCAATTATAAGGTGGGTAGATATCATAGTACTGTCAGTCGAATAACCCAGTCCCGGGATTGCACCGCTTTTTTAGCATAATTTTTGAAACAAACTGAAGATGTCATACAAGAAATCTCATCAACAATGTTATGTTTTTCATTCGTATAATGGTTTTATTTTTTGCCTGGACAACTGTCAACTATTTTGCCTGACCAACAACCTCGAACAGATAAATTTTGTTCTATATCATATATTTGTTTTCTCGTTTTCTCTAAGATAAGAACGGGGTCGTACTAATTTCCTATTAGTATCATTTGAAAATGTGAATATTGCTATATACCACATACAACTTATAACATTGGTGAATCAATGTTCTGTTAAAATGAACAGGAGAATATATGAGTGACATATCCCATACAAACGAATACATGACATTATGACTCATGCTGCATATAATACACACGCAAATAAAATAAATTAAAGAGGTATTCTGAGTTAATTTTGCGTTAGAATGAATTTTAATTTATTTATTTGATCAAAGTTAAACGAATGAATATATGAATTAAAAACAAATTCAACAGTTATTCCTTAAAAGAGATTATCACTTATAAAAGAATAAACCACTCAGCTTCCCTTGACATGTGGATGATGAGTTAATTTTTGTCATACGTGCGTCGTATCCCCGGGGGCGGAGCAACGTCACAAGACGTTCCACGTTGCTAAGACGCGCACCACTGTACATGCATTTCTATGGGCTCTGTGCGCGTTGCTGTGGAACGCCGGTCGAGCCGGTGAAAATTCGAGAAAACAATACAAACTCAACTTTGAAGTAATCCCGAACAATCAAATTTATATATGTTACACATGTAGGGCTAATCTTGTCACACTGTTCAGGGGAGTCTCATCAACCATCGCAAAGTACCGTTTTCTGTGAGTTTTTGGCCTTTGTTTTCACCACGAGGGTTGCCAGGCGGTGAAAATGCCCGGATGTCCGCCCCTGAGGATAATGTAAAAGTATAACTGTACTCCCATACACACCCTATTTCATTCTATGGATTGATTTCATTTCTAGTTCCATGTTGGAAGTTCAAAATGGTGGTTTGGAATACAGGCTGTCAATCATAAATATCTTGTGGCTACAATGGAACTAATACAACAGGGAACTAACACATGGATTGACCTGGAACGGAGTAGCTATAATTACTTCCTGAAACCCACTTCTATCTCTACAATTGAAGCACCTTTTGAGTTGAGGTTGACGTCGGTTAACGGATATGTTGTGACGGATAACATCGATGCTATTCAAAGTAATGAACTGATTGAGGGTACTGGACAGTTTGGAAACTGTAGCGGTTTCGATGAACAGGTGACGCCAAGAGACGATGGCATGACACGTGAGTTGATATTTTATTTAGTGAAATATTCCCATTCATTAGAAGTTTATAGAAACACAAATATTGTCAGAGATTATGCAAATTTTAATATAAGCAGCAACATTCACTATGTACGCCCTCTATCGACGAAGTGCCCCTGTGACATACTCGTACTTTAATCGATGTAAAAAACAGTTGGTTGATTCAGATTCAGTTTTTTAGAGATTTTGTATTTTCTAAATGACGAACGATTACACAGACGAACGGACAGAAATAATGGTGTTGACAAATCCACCGCTAGAGGGCGCAACATCAAGGAACGGCGTATTTGAAGGATTTGGGTCGTGGTATTAAACCTCGTGATGGTAACAGTATACACTTTCTACACAGGGGTAACAACCACCAGACCGGCAACAAGATTCGTTCCAACTGAAGAAAATACTGACGATAATGGTGAACCTGATAGCCATGACTGTACAATCGATGAACGCACATATTCCGGAGAAGCTACCTTCTACTATGGTGCGGCCACCGCGGCAGCTGGAAGTGGAGCCTGTATGATTAATACTGGCGGTGACCTAATGATCGGAGCAATGACAGCTGCATTATGGGACGAATCTCAGGTAAAATCAAAACTGGAAAGACAAATACCGAACGGAGTCAATTGAATGAATGTGTCTGTGTTTCATCTAGTCTATCTTATGACGTTTACATGACGTAATATCTAAGATACTGTAGAGCGTGTAGACCATATATATACTGTCAACTCGAAATAACTCATCAGCCTTGAAGCTACTAAAATCACAAATACAGATAAAGTAAAACTGTAACATTCATTCATAATTATCACTTGACATAATTACCAAATATGATCTGTGACACAAAAATTATGAGTGGTGTCATTTCTACAACACTTTGTAGATTTACTGACTTGTCATTATCACGTATATGTTTATGACATACATTAGTATAGTTTGAGTCAAAAAATACATGTGACTAGTCCACGGGATTTTGGATTCATGGTAGGGAAGACCGGGAGGGAAGACTGCCCAATGGCCTCTGTCGTCTGCCTTCGTTACGCCACAGTCCCTCTGTCGGGGTTACTCATACACGCATACAGCGTCTTGTAATCAGGGATACTGCGCCCTTCCCTGTTTCGGACACCTGGTAGCACAACAGATATATATGTGGTACTTGATGGACCTTCATTTTTGTAAACAGTATGGAGTATCAGCGGTCGCCTTGTTTACAGTATATCATTTTTTTGTCTTGATTCATTTGTCGGCTTTTCATGTATAATATTTGTTTTTTAAATGCTGTGTGTAATGTAACAATACATTCAGAAACCCTTATTTGCATTAGAATATGATGATATATGTTTTTCATTTTTACCCCCTTAACTTACATCACAAATTATCGCTGCCGCTACGCTATAGTACAGTCCGATTCCAATACCATTCTCCAGCAGATTTTAATTTGTGTAATGAAAACCGTAGTCTATCACAAACCCCAGCTGATGTGTGTGATTAAATACGGTTATATCTTTTGGAATATGGCAGGTAAAAGTTGCTTATTACGTCCACCAGTTGCCGGCAATTTTGTAGTAACTTTTCAACTTACAAAATATTCATCATCATATTCATATTGCTCT